CTAAATTTTCCAAAATAAAATATTTAGGTGGCGACTCTGTATCTGGCAAAGCAGTCCATTACTTGTTTTGTTTGAATGATTTGGCATCATTTCTTACTTAATTTCAGTGCACTTAGTGTCTTTACACTTGCACATTTGTCACTCTTTGAGCACTCTTGAGAGTTGTGCTCTTGGGCCTCTTGTATTGGCCAATGCATTGTGCATGCATGCTTTGTATTTTGTGCCTTCATTTCATCCCATTGGCCACTGATTTGGGTGTGACTGAGGCCCATCCATTTTGGTTTAAGTCCATTTTGCATCGAGTATGCCATTGTAGTTCATAGCATTGAGTGCCATGTTGTCGCATGATTGATCACTGCATTGTGCGTGCCTTGTTCATCTCATTGTGTATGTTAGTTTCCATGTGCATTGCGTATGCTAGTGTCATGAGCATTGTGCATGCCATGTAGTTTTAGCATTGTGTATGCTAGGTGTATGTTTGCATGTTCATCCTTTGCATGTTTGCATGGCTAAGTGGCATGGCATTAGGATTGCATGCTAGAGTTGCATCAGTGCATGCCATGTTTGTTGCATTGTGTTTAGGATAGGAGTTAGCCCAAACACGGGAAACGAGGGACGTTTCATACTCGAAGTGATGAAACGTGCCTCGATTCCCTGTCGCCGATACTCTTGACTACACATGATGGAGTTTAGGCATTTATGTGTTCATATGTGCATGCATTCTATATTAAGTTATGCAATTCGGTTCCTCGGCCATCATGCATCGAGATGCGTGATTGGTAGCCCGAGGGTCGAGGACTACACTCCCTAGAGCTTATGCAATGACGGGAAGAGTGGTCATGCACACATGTGTTGCAAATACCTTGTCGTGCCTCTCTCTTGTTCCTTGTTGCAGAAAACCAGAAACTAGAGGCAGAAACTAGTCGGCCAACCAGCTTTTCTGGCAGGCCAACCACCTCTTTTGGTTTCTCCCACAAAAGGTGGTTGGCAGGTGGTCTCCAAGGTCAATAGCTGGTCGGCAGCCTTCCCACAGATTCCTAAGGTGGAGTTTCAGTCTTGTGAAGCCTTGTGCAGTGTTCTGAGCTCAATTGCAAACAAAGGCAAGCCGGGGCATCGCGATGGATTTCCCGAAAAGGCAACTCGAGCATGCATGCATCCTTTATCATTCAAGGCAGAGCTGAGGCAGTCCACATTCATGTAGTTTGCATGCTAGTTTAATTGCTTACTTAGTTAGTTTGTTAATTAATTAGAGTTATGTAATAATTAGCTATAATTTATTATTCATTTTGGTTGTGCAATTACTAGCTTAATTAGATTAGTTTAGATTAGCTAGTTGGTGTTGTATTATTTATTCGGACCCTCCGTTGAGAGGGCCAACTGTTGTAATAAGTGTGCGTACGTGTGATGCATGTCTTCCAACCCCACGTCTTTCTCCCTTTTATTGCCCAGCTTATGATGGTTAGTTTTAGGGCATGTTTCAATTAGCATCCTTATGCTCGCATGATTGCATTCATTCATCTGTCTTGCATGCACCGGGCTCGGTACGTCATACTAACTGCATCCATTCATCTGTCTTGCATGTACCGGGCTCGGCGCATCATACTAACTGCATTGTATTTCAATTCCAAGTTGAATACATGTTATCTGTAACATGTCACATGCCATTTTAGAATAGCCGAGCCTATCTTAGTTGCATCCTGCATTTGTTGCATTAGGCATCTTAGCATAGTTAGGATTCATGCATGACTTCTAATTAGCTTCTTTCTTTGGCTCGGAGTACTCGGTGAGTGTTTATGCTTTAGCATCCTTGCATGTGTGTGAGTGACTGCCATGATAGCATGCTTGCCATAAGGCTAACTGATTATGTGATATACCTGCCTGAATGTCTGTGGGTGAAGGTTGGATTACTTGAATTGAAATAATTCATCGATTGCGAGTTTTAAGTCCACTTGAGAGTGGCAAATCACCCTGTTTTCTAAGCCCAGTTGAGGGTGGCAAATCCACGTCTTAGCCTAGTTGTGAGTAGCACCATCAAACCATTTTCAAATAAACAAACATGAAATGTTTTGTTCCAACTCAGGCGATCTACACTACAAGAAATTGCACTTTTGGCGACTACTTTTGGCGACGACGTCAATTTTTCATCGCCAAAAGTATGTTTTTGGCGACACAGTGATCAATTTCGTTGGTAAAAGTATACCTTTACCGGCGCAATTTGTTGTCGTTGCTAAAAAGGCATATAATTATTTTGGCGCCAAAATTTTTGGTTAGCGCCAAAATTTCAAAACTTTTACCTACGAGGCTTATGTTTTAGCAACATAATGAGCGTTGCTATTAGTGTGCTTACTTTTGGCGACGACAAGTTGGCGTGGGCAAAGAGTTAATCATTTAGCGACGATGACACTATTCGTCGGTAAAAGTTTTGCTAGTGGAATGATGTGATTTAGGGATTGTGTTTTTTATTATAATTTTTGAAAGAGTTTTAAATATTTTAGTTACTGAATTGTAAAATTAAAATGATCATTGAATTAGATCACAAAATGAATCCATTGAGCCCAAACACACTCTTAAGTTGAGATGACTAATTTGAGATAATTTAAACATTTTCAAAGAATATGGTTAGATTATCAATTTCAATATGTTTGTTTTTATTTTCAGAAACTAGTTTCAATTTTTTTTTTCCTAAAAAACTAAAAAAAAATTGGGTGAAAAAAAAAACTTATTATTTTTGTATATTTTTATCTTTTAGGTCATAAATACTTTTTAAAATTTGAAAAATATAATTTTGATTTTTATTGCTCTGAAATTATTTTTAATTTTTTTTAAAAAAAAATTCTTAACTAGAAATCAGCATACAAAAAATAGTGTGGCATATTTAGAACTTGCACTTTTTTTCTAACCGATCCAATGCATGAGACAAGTAGACCGTTGAGCCTTAGAGATACACTTTTACTTAGTTTATCACAATATGATTTTTTTAATTAGCATCCTACACTGGTACTCCATCCAAGCACCTAGAAAAAAACATTTGACTTGGAATAATCACACTGATTGGTGTGTAAATTTTTTAATGAATTATGCAACTATAGTTATGTATTCACTTCTATGAGGAAAAAAATAACAATAATTTACTTTACTTTCTTGCTCAGCAAATATCATTAGGAAATAGAAAGGTAAAGGAGCAAATAAACAATGTCCAGTGATTCTTCCTAGTGTGGAATGAGTAAAGAATCAAGCTATACTTGTTGCACTCATCTCTTTTCCTTTCTTGATGTAATGAGTTCTTTGTTCATCAATAAAAGTTTTATTTTGCCAATCTAAAAAAAAAAAAAAAAGGACCTAAAACAGTTAAATATTGTTTTAGTTTGTGAGAAATTGATTTTAGGTTTTTATACTTATAATTGGTCTGTTATAATTTGTAGAATCTATAATAATTTATATTTTAATTTAAACAGTGGCTAATTACAATTTGGTTGGGTGTAAATGTCTAGCATTGGTCTATACTGTTTGGGTGCTTAACTGGCACTTATTGAAACACTTTGTATTACATATATTTTGTAAGTTAACATGATTGAATAGAACATAAGATAGCATGGGTGTTACTGTCATTCAATGCCTTTTGTTATTGTGATACATTCTTTCCTATAATCAAATAAATGTTGTGACTTTTTTATTCATATACTCGTGCTTATATTGACTATAAAATTATTATCCAATTTATTGCTATTATTCTATATTCTTAATTTTCTGTCCAGGTATATATTCTTCTATTGTTTATTGTCATTCTTATGATAATATGTGCACTAATATTATGTTCATTATTCTGTATCATTTATTTCACTTCTAAGCATTGCTGGACACCTTGCACAAATGAAACAAATTAAGGTAATAAGAGTTGCTATTTTCTCTTTTATGTTAACTTCAAATTGCCAATATGTGGTTCATTTGCACATAAGCTTGTATTTGACAAACTTGGCTTTAAAGGGGGCTCTATTTGGTCATTCATCCTTGGCATTTAAGGATGTTCTGAATAGTTCATGAGTGGTGCTGACACATACATATAATAATTATAGTACATACCAAGGATCAATGATGATTTAATATAACTAAGGGATGATTAAGGGAGTTGGATTATACCAATTTTCCATATGTGTTTATATTCACTATTATATGCCTAAATCACTGTATAGAGTAGCAATTGGGATTGCCATAACCACCTTGACTTTTATGTTTTTTTTTTTTTTTTTTTTTTTTTTTTTTTTTTTTTAAAGGCTTTAGTTATCTATCATGTATGCTAATGAGTGCAATTGTGTTTTTCAGTTTATTATCGATCATCTATACAGAGGGTTGAGTGATGAGAGCATATATGGAGTGTTATAATACTAATGTTGGTTGTTACTGTACAGGATTAGCTGGATGTGAGATTAGAGAGTTCTCCAAATTGTGGGTTGAGTGTTGTGAGACCATAAACATGTGGGTTTACACTAACACTCTCTTGCCTATCTTTATGTGTAATTTCTGTAGGTACAATAGGAAGCATGAGTGTTGTGATGTGTATAGTAGTTGGTTGAGTGAAGTGAGACCACAAATTGAGTGTAGCTTGTCTCATTACCTGCTTTTCTTGATGAGTGTAATGTATATATGGGGGTTGAGTGATGTAGGAATAAATTGTGTTGTGAGCTTTGTTGATGCAGGTTGTGTAAAATCTGACTATGATTCAATACTTTTTGAAGTGCCATTTTTCAGGTCCTGCGATGCTTAATGGTGATGGAGGAAATAGAAGACAAGGAGACCAGGCTGCAAACTGCACCAATCTTGTGCTTCCCATCCTGATGGACTATAGTTGCTTTTACTTTTTGTTGTTTTTTGGAATAATGGCTGCTTGTATTACAGTTACTTTTGATCGTCAATTTGAGAGTGTTGTGCTTATTTTGTGTTGCTGCGATGTTCAGCTATATGCTGCTTGTACTGAGCTGTTCTGCTGGTATGGCTGCTAGGCTATTTGTTGAGCAGCTTTGCTACTGTACTGCTCTGTCACCAAGTGTTCCTGCTGCAGCTTTCTGTGCTGCTGAAATACGTGATTTTGGATGCTACAGTTGGCTGCTACAACTTCTGCTACAGCCCATATGGATGCCTCTATTTGGATTGTTGCAGAATTTGGGTAAGACAAACTGCTGTTTTGGGGTGTGGTCCTTATTTTATTTTAATTTTCTTTGTTTTTCTGTTTGTGTGGTCTTCTCCTGTACAGGGTCCCTTTTACCATATAAGTGTATTCTACACCACTATGCATCTGTGCCAATTAGTGGAATGAGTTGGATGGCATGGTTACATTTAGATAGTAGGGTTCACGTTCTTATGTGGTGTTTTATGATTGGATAGCAGGACCACATATGAACGATGACGTGATATCATTGTTGCATTGAAGTTTTACTCAGTAGCCACATCATTCTTTATATGGACAAAAAAGCTACAGAGCCATAATAAGTAGTCCGAAAAATGGCTAGTGTGTGGATCAGCTTCACTTTAGATGTGACTCACATCACGTTAAATTTGAATCTTCAATACTCACTTCTATTTTTGTGAATTCTGTATGGCATCGCATTGCATTGCATATTGGAACTTAGTGAAAGATGCTAATATCCTCTTTATTACTGGTTGCAGGCATGGGGTTTGGACTGAGATTTGGAACATAAAGATGAGTATTATCTATTGTTTTACTGTACAATAAACGTTGTGTATTGTTATTATTATTATTATTATTTTTGGGGTTGACGTCGCGCTAGTCGGAGAATTTGTTGATGCAGAGGAAGATGACAGTGAGTGATACCTCAGGGTTACTAATCTCTTTACTGTCATTGGGAATTTAATTGTCTGCAACTTCTGCTGAAAGCAGAGGCTGTGGATATTTCTTACATAATTAGAGAGAAGTTGCAAGAAAATAAACTGATTTGATATGGATTTCATTTTCTTTTCTGTTCTTAGATTTTTTATTTATTTTATTTAAGTTTTTTGGTTGAGAACACTCAATTTTTAGAGAAACACTTCTAGGTTGTAACCCAACTAATCTGCTCCTCCAAGGAATAGATGGTTCCATGACTCCTCTCATAAGATGACTACCCTAGGAACCAAGCGAGCTGGACTCAGTCCAATCAACTATCACCTTGAGATCACCATCAACCCAGCAAAGTGAAAGGGCTTACCAACTTGTATTTCCAATACCCATGACTTATGCCATGAAATATCATTTGAAATCGAAGTTCCAATTATCTTTTAGTACTTAAAAAATTGGTATCTAATGTTTTTTTAATTCCATGAAGCTGTTTGGCAAGGTCTTTGCTTGTTCCCTAGATAGGTTTTTATTGCTGAAGTACTTGTTGGACTAGAAACGAAATTTAGGTAAAAACTAGGGTAGCTTCATCATGTGATAGTGACAAGATGATTTTTTAGAGTGGACGCTCGATTGCCCTTGTTTGTGCTCGTTCATGGGAGAATGAGAAGTGGCTACGAAATTCTGAAGTACTACAAACAGTCACGCCTCCTCTAGTTAGGACCAGTGATTTGCATCAAGCTAAATAATTCTCTTTTACTTTTCCATATAAGACAGACATGGTTATGTTGTGCAGGAGAAGGGAATCGAAACACACCAGAGGGCCCTTCCAAATGGAAAGATCAAGCAAGTATTCTTCTTTGATCCAGATGGTGAGCTTTTATAACCCCCTTTTTCAAATAGCCTCATGAACACAATTATATGTGAATTAATATATTTTTAATATTATTGTATTTATTTTTCTTTTCAAGTTCAAGATTGCGCTCAGTCCGTTTATGTAATATAGTTGACTCGAGTTGAGCTGGAGCTCTAGTAATTTTCAGTGAGCTGAGTAGCTCGGCTTGGCTCATTTGTAGCCCTAAGTATTGAGAAAATGACTGAAGTATCTTGAAGTACAGCTCTCATTGCTGAAATATTGACACCGTTATTTGCTTAAAAGTGTAATAGTTGCCATCAGCTGCGGGGCCACCAGCCACTTTTAATCAGCAAACAGAGTTCTTTGTTATGTTATTAGTTGACATTTTCCTTGCACATGCTTGATGGAGTTGCAATTAGTGAAATTTATCGAAATCATATTTTTTGACGTGCAGGGAATGGCTTGGAGGTTGCAAGCCATGAAGATCCAGAACAATAAGCTGGGGTGTTCCGTATGCAAGTGGACCTGATAGAATGAATCAATTGCGAACAACAGATGAATTTATGTTGACATGTTACATAAGAGGTCAACAAAATCCAAAAGACCCTAAATTTGGATGAGTTATGCTGTAAATGAATGAATTTGTAATGGGTATTGTATATGACTTGCACTCCAATTGGTACTTTTATCTCCTCTTCTTGTTTGGGATAATTTTATCTGCATTATATTCTATGTTCTAGTACTACTTATCATTTAACCTTTTTGATCCTTTGGGTTTTTGTCCATGATAATAATGATTTCAGATTTCTTTTTAGGACCCTTTTTTTTTCTTAATTTTCTAGACATGGAATTTTTGTTTTGTTATGAATTTTTAATCCTTTTAGGAATCTTATTATTCAAGTTGTCATTGTGACTGTTTATTTTAAGAAAAATTACCAAAAAATGGTGAGTAGACAAACTAGTTACAATTTGATGGAAATTCAAATATAATTGTATTAGAGATGGAAACTTGTAATTTTATTCGAGTGTAAATGTTAATCCTTCCCCATTCTTCTTTTTTCTCTCTTTCCTTTCCCTCTCCTCACCCCATCTTATTTTTAGTCTTTGAGTTTTTCTGTTGTCATTGATATAGTTTATATTACTTTCTGGATTGTTTCCTTTTATTTTCTACCGATTGAAGCTATCAACAAGTAATGAAAAAATACAGAACTTCAAAGCTACTAAAATGCTTCCACGGCTCTGAATACTGTCTGTTATTAGTCCGTAAAAGCAGAGTTACATCTTGATTTCTATTGCTCTTTTGCCACTTTCAGGTTGCCACTTTGACTTTATCTATGTTATTTTTTATTGATAATCTTGTAGAATCAGTCATTGATGCCTTATTTCCTTGTGATAAGAGACATAATGATGGAAGATCACATAAACAGGTGAAGCATTTTGATGTGATTGCTCCTGATTTTATACTAGTGACTTGATGCCATCTGATGTTGGTTACATTTTTTCTTCAACAGCTTGGTAGATTCTATCCATGGTGGATCAGGACACGAGGGGATGGTCCCCCTGGAATATCAATTATTTGCATCTGCTGGAGCAATAAATTTTCCGGTTCAGGAAATAGAAGCTTGGAAAGAGAAGGTGATTGGTGGAGATATCACAATGAAAAATTTTGATTTCAAACTATTTACCTATTGATTCGTCCTCCTGTCTCCCCCCTCCCCCTCTCCAAAAAAAAAATAAAATAAAAGTAGTACCTGTTAACTTTGATGCATTTCTACAGATCAAACGGCTCGATCTATTGCTTACAAGTGATATTTGGTGCCAGATTAAAGCATTCTTGAATCAGTGGTTGACGGAGTTGACAAATAACGAAACTCTGTCCTTGCAACATCAAGTCCAGGCAGTTGCTCCTTTAGTGTTGCAGCAGTACTCTTCTGATACAATTCAGAAGATGTTGTCTGATGTTTCTTTGGCCATCTCCTCACTGACAAACAGAAAAACCAGGGATCAGATCATGATTCTCAACTCAAAAAGGTGCAGCATTCTTGTTTTTCAACAAGCTTTATACCTTGTCCATTTCCTTCACCGTCAAATTTCTTCTCCCCCACTTATTGTTTACGACACCAATCTGTATTGAGAATTCACAAATGAAAATTATATTATATTTACATGACTTTTCTTTTGGTATTTGATTGATGCATATTTTGTGCGATCCCAATAAGTCTTTGCATTTTTGGTTGTTGTTAGGAATCAACTGTCTATTGTTATGACCGATTCAGACGTTTTCTGTCTTGATCTTGATAGAGATTTGTTGTTGATAGCTTGTCTTCATCTGTACCAGACCAAAAGAAAAAAAGAAAAAAAGCTTGCTTTGTAATAATCAAAAGTGGTTTGAACATCACTCTAAATGGATGGGTGCTTCAATGGAATCATAATATATAATCTTACATTAGGACTTTTTGTTTCGGAAACTAACTATTTTGTTGTTTTTAAACCTTTCTAGGTCGCTTAGGTATTGTCGATCATGATGTAGTTGAGCTTAACAATCTGCACAGGCAGGTAGGACTCTCAATTCTATTCTGATATTTGTAAATCTTCTTTGATGGAGATGATGATGATATTGCTATAAGTGCTTCCAGGGAGAGAATCAAATTTGTAGTTCTTCATCAGCTAACTTGTATTATTATACTGCAGATTATCCATACTGAAGCATATATTGGTCAGTCAAAAGTGGAATCTGCTGCTGCTGCTTGTCACTCGTATGTAACGCTGGATTGACTGACTACTTTGAAAACCTGGTCATTAGTTCCAGTATCTGTGCAGTTATTTTGATACGATCGATCTTACATTGTCATGTCACAAATTATCTCTTTGAATATCTACTACTGTGATATTATCTTTTTGCCTGTATCTAACTCGACAATTTAAATTAGGATTAACTCTACTATTCAGATTGTGGAACACAAAGAAGCTTTATGTACATCCAATGCCTTGGAAATTTTGAGCAAGTATCCTTGATAAAATTAATTTGATATGCTATGATTTCCTCTTCATGTTATAGTATATTTGGTATTTTTGGGTCAATAAAGCTAGAATATGTTGATTTCCATGACTGGGATGCTTCCTAGATATGACATAGTAATAGATGCAACAGACAATGCTCCTAGCCGTTATCTAATCAGTGATTGTTGTGTGGTATTGGGTAAGGTAAGCTGTCTGCTATCCTCGTTTTCTTTTTATAAAAAAGAAAACTTGTGCAAAGACATTATGAAGTTGACTTATAAATGTTGACTTGTATCTGAATCTGCTTAAAATGATTAAGGTGGCAGACCTTCAGTTCTTCTACTCCTAGTTATTCACTGAATTCTCTTTTAGCTCCATTGTCATAAATGTTCATTTATTTATCAGAATCGTAGATTTAAGGACAGATTTGATCAAGCTTGTATGTATTATCCAATGAAATAGTTTAGTCTTCATATGTTAATCTTCTGATTATTAACCTCAATGTTTATGCATGCAGCCTCTTGTATCAGGTGCCGCTATAGGATTGGAAGGGCAGGTAAAAAACAGTATTAGCAATTTTCTCACTAATTCCTATATGAACATGTGGAAAACTCTTTATATGGATTTGGGACTACAGAATGTAATTAACTCTTTTTTATATTGTTCAAATTCTTACTACAACTGCATCCTCAAATCATTTGTGTAGCTTACAGTTTACAATTACAATGGAGGTCCATGTTATCGGTGCCTATTTCCAACTCCACCTCCTATGACAGCATGTCAAAGATGCTCTAATAGTGGTGTTCTGGGAATTGGTAAGCCATTAATATGTTGTGTCTTAGTCCATTCAATTAGAAATATTGCCTACAATCTTGAATTTAAAGAGAGAAAAATCTGAGTTTGCCTGGGAGTTGTCCTTTAGCTGTCGGTCCTTGTTTGCATTTCTCGAGTCCCTTGCATATTTCTAGTTTA